TGTAACATCATACTGATGTAAAGTATTCACATGTTCTCTTGTTTCTCTGACATGTACAGGGACGACACAAAACGCTCACTGGGCCATTCAATCCATCAACTTTTTTGCCAGGTACGTCAATCTATTTTTACATCAATATTTAGGCCTAGTAGTTCATCTGTATAGAGGATTATCAATATCTGAGCATCCTGACTTATCTATCTAGATTCTCATCAACATTTTAGCCTAGAAAATATTTTATCTAGGAAGTCATCAACATTTTAGTCTAGTAAATAAAAAATCTATAAAAAAAAATTTAAAAAAAAAATAAAGGAAAGATCAATTTTTACGCCTTTAAGGCATATCGGGCATATTGGAAGCGCTTATATATTTTTACAGACCATCGGTAATGTGATCACCTTTGCGCCGACAGTCTTTACTTCCTCAGGACAGCCATCCTGGTACCCATTTTAGGCTGGGTCGACCCGCAACGCCCCACACCATGATAAAAATCCACGCAGCCAGCTGTGGGTTTAGATTGCGGTGCGTTGGAATTACAAGTCGGACTCCTAACGCCTAAGAGTTAATCTAAAGGCCAATCAATATTTGAGCCACTTATTTGAATGATCATCAATATTTGTGCATACTGACTCATATATATCTAAGGTATCTTTGGCATTCGAGTCCGAGTCTAGTAACGTTTCTGTCTTGGCGGTCATAAGTATATGAGCCAGACAACTAATCTATCTAGAGATCAATCAATATATGAGCCAGTTAACTAATCTATCTAGAGGCCAGTCAATATTTGAGCCAGGTAACTAATCTATCTAGAGGCCAATCAATATATGAGCCAGGTAACTAATCTATCTAGAGGCCAATCAATATATGAGCCAGGTAACTAATCTATCTAGAGGTCTATCAATATTTGAGCCAGTTAACTAATCTATCTAGAGGCCAGTCGGTATTTGAGCCAGGTAACTAATCTATCTAGAGGCCAATCAATATATGAGCCAGGTAACTAATCTATCTAGAGGCCAATCAATATATGAGCCAGGTAACTAATCTATCTAGAGGTCTATCAATATTTGAGCCAGTTAACTAATCTATCTAGAGACCAATCGGTATTTGAGCCAGGTAACTGATCTATCTAGAGGCCAATCAATATTTCAGCCAGTTGATTCACCTGCTTCGTAATGCCGGGGTGCCGGGTTCGATCCCAGCTGCGTGCCATGCTCCTTGCGTTGGTTTTGACAGTGGTATAAAAAAGCGACCGTCCAGAAAGCAATGGCAAACTACTGGACGTAAATTTGCCTTAAGAAACGACACAACAACTGTTGGCGTTGGTTCTGCAAAGTCCTATATAGGATACGCAACTAACCTCTTTGATTCACCTATCTAAAAAATCATCAATATTCGAGCCTGCTGATTCATATATCTGAGATATCTTCAGTAATTGAGTCTAGTAACTTATACAATATTTCAATTTTATTGTCTTTAATAGCAACCCTTCTTCAGTATTCAGTTTTGAAGTATGGATGCATTTGTTCTTCTCTTTACCCATGATATTTTTAGAACCCGTCTATAACATTTGAATTCACAGGCATTTATGCGCTGTTCAGCTTGTTTAGGAAATGTCTAGGTCTCACAGGCATTTATGCGATGTTCAGCAAGTTTTGTAAGTGTCTAGGTGTCACAGGCATTTATGCGCTGTTGAGCTTGTTTAGGAATTGTCCAATTGTCACAGGCATTTATGCACTGTTCAGCTTGTTTGGGAATTGTCCAATTGTCACAGGCATTTATGCACTGTTCAGCTTGTTTAGGAATTGTCCAATTGTCACAGGCATTTATGCACTGTTCAGCTTGTTTAGGAATTGTCCAATTGTCACAGGCATGTATGCGCTGTTCAGCTTGTTTAGGAATTGTCCAATTGTCACAGGCATGTATGCGCTGTTCAGCTTGTTTAGGAAGTGTCTAACTCTCACAGGCATTTATGCACTGTTGAGCTTGTTTAGGAATTGTCCAGGTGTCACAGGCATGTATGCACTGTTGAGCTTGTTTAGGAAGTGTCTAACTCTCACAGGCATTTATGCACTGTTCAGCTTGTTTAGGAATTGTCCAGGTGTCACAGGCATGTATGCACTGTTGAGCTTGTTTAGGAAGTGTCTAACTCTCACAGGCATTTATGCACTGTTCAGCTTGTTTAGGAATTGTCCAATTGCCACAGGCATTTATGCACTGTTCAGCTTGTTTAGGAATTGTCCAATTGTCACAGGCATGTATGCACTGTTCAGCTTGTTTAGGAATTGTCCAATTGCCACAGGCATTTATGCACTGTTCAGCTTGTTTAGGAATTGTCCAATTGTCACAGGCATTTATGCACTGTTCAGCTTGTTTAGGAAGTGTCTAACTCTCACAGGCATTTATGCACTGTTCAGCTTGTTTAGGAAGTGTCTAGCTCTCACAGGCATTTATGCACTGTTCAGCTTGTTTAGGAAGTGTCTAGCTCTCACAGGCATTTATGCACTGTTCAGCTTGTTTAGGAAGTGTCCAGGTCTCACAGGCATTTATGCACTGTTCAGCTTGTTTAGGAAGTGTGCGAGGAGAAGAGATCGAAAAATCACAGAATAATAACAGAAAGAAGAAAAACAAATGTACGGAGGAGGCGAGGCGGGCCAACGTTGATGAGAGAGGCCAATGCTACAGGATAGAAATCCGGAGAAGAATAAATTGCAATCCATACATGACGTATGATGCCACAACATGATGCTGTCAATGACAATGACTTCGATAATACACTGAAACTTTTGTTTTTCAGTGCCCGTTTGTTTGACATTTAAATTTGTAGTTGTTATATTATGTGAAAGACAATGAGAGAGCAGATGCTCTGGCTGGTAGTGCGACTATAATGAATAGGTCCTCTATGGACAGGAGAGACATCTTCAAAGTGTGCAGAGCAAGCTATGGGGAACTATGCAGGACCTGCAGCTGACATTCGAGTTCATAGAGGCAACCCACCTGATGGTCTGATCTGAACATAAGAAAACGGACGCAAATAAGAAGTACGAGGGACCAAACACTGTGAGGCTTTTACATTCATGGAAAATGATTCTGTACTGAATAGGCTGCATACCCTGGGTGTACCAGATGGAGCCGATATACAGAAAAACCATACGGGAGCCACCCGTCGTTATATCAACCAGAACAGAATTGCAGTTGTTAGTATAAAAACACTTGGAGACATTCTCAAGAGGAGATTGGAGTACTTATGGTCCTGTCTGATGTGCGATAAAGATGATCTCTAAAATGAACAATATTATTTCGATACTGCATGTTAATATATTTAAACAGAGAAGACGCAAACAACGGCGGCGTCAGTGACTTAGGAGTTGCGAGTCTGACTCGTAATTCCAACTTACTGTGATCGAAACCCACTGCTGGCTGCGTATATGTGTATCATAGTATGAGGCTCGCAAGTCGACCCAGCCTAAAATGAGTACCAGGATGTATGTCCTGGGAAAGTAAAGACGGCCGGCGTAATGCTGACCAGATTACCCACCTAGTGCCGATTTATCTGTAAAAATATAGGTGCTCTTCCCATATGCCCGATGCGCCTAAAGGCGTAAAAAGGGATCTAGTTAGTTTATTAAACACAAAAAACAGATTGCACAATTTATTGAATGGCTCTATCTCATCAGGTGCATACTACAGTAACAATTAAATAAATCATGCAAATAAGTAAATCCTTTATACCTAAAATACATATTCAATAGCACTCAGAGGCAACTGCCTGTTTTACCAGGGCAGCCACAATTTCAGAATCATATCTTTCTGTTTGCAAAGCTCAGGACGTAAGTAACGAATCCTGTCGGTTTCAAGAAATCCTAGCGTTCTGCCACTGGAGTACGTCTTAAGGATTCGAAATGCGTTGTCATTGGTTACAGTGTGTCAATAATTTAAAATATGGCGCGCTATTGCAAAGGGGTGGCGTTTCCGACCGGTCACCTGGGTAGTATTTGTTAAATTATTGTTCTTGTTGATTGTTACTTTGCTGTTCACTAACAAGAGATGCAGGACTAGTCAATATATCGGCTTTTTGTTGAATGAACGGCTGTCAATACAGCGTAATGCCCAGGAGAAAATACCCAAACGAGGTTCACTATATGCGACCCCATAACAACTTGTTGTGTATTCTCTGCAGGACGTTCTAAAGTAAATTCACCATTTTTTTATTTGGCCGTTTGCGATTTCACTGGGCAGTTTTACGTTCCGTAGTTTACCATTATCTGATAAACCGTCCGCTCTCGAAGCCGCTGCCGGAACCTACACAAGGCGGTCTGCTACCGATTCGTCTGCAGCTGTGATCGAGCCCAGGACCTCAGAATTACAAAGTGCGTGCCCACAGTTACAGATCGTGTTATGTACCTGACTTTAACAAGTAGGGTTCATGTTCTTTCCAGGACGTTGCAAACAAATCCCAACACCGTCAGTGCGGTCGCCCCTTCCCACATCCTCCAAGACACACGGGAGGCACAGGCATGCTCCGCTTCCATTCCATGGAGGCTAAATTGTCCCCTCTACCTAAACTGTCCCCACAACCTAAACTGTCCCCTCTACCTAAAGTCTCCCCTCCACCTAAACTGTCCCTTCCACCTAAACTGTGCCCTCCACCTAAACTCTCACCTCCACCTAAAGTCTCCCCTCCACCTAAACTCTTCCCTCCACCTAAACTCTCCCCTCCATCTAAACTCTCCCCTCCACCTAAACTCTTCCCTCCACCTAAACTCTCCCCTCCATCTAAACTCTCCCCTCCACCTAAACTGCCCCCTCCACCTAAACTCTCCCCTATACCTAAACTCTCCCCTCCACCTAAACTCTTCCCTCCACCTAAACTCTCCCCTCCATCTAAACTCTCCCCTATACCTAAACTCTCCCCTCCACCTAAACTCTCACCTCCACCTAAACTCTCCCTTCCACCTAAACTGTGACCTCCACCTAAACTCTTCCCTCCACCTAAACTCTTCCCTCCACCTAAACTCTTCCCTCCACCTAAACTCTTCCCTCCACCTAAACTCTCCCCTCCACCTAAACTCTCCCCTCTACCTAAACTCTCCCCTCCACCTAAACTGTCCCCTCCACCTAAACTCTCCCCTCTACCTAAACTCTCCCCTCCACCTAAACTCTCCCTTCCACCTAAACTCTCTCCTCCACCTAAACTCTCCCCTCCACCTAAACTGTCCCCTCCACCTAAACTGCCCCCTCTACCTAAACTGTCCCCTCCACCTAAACTGTCCCCTCCACCTAAACTGTCCCCTCCACCTAAACTGTCCCCTCTACCTAAACTTTTCCCCACCCATACTGGAATATACTCATGTACTCGTTTCTCCTGACGTCGATCAGTCCTACACACATACGCAGCTTCATCGTTGCATGTCAATTGGTAGATGGTTTGATCTTGCATAAGTCGACACTGATTGTTTTGCCAAGGGGGTCTTTTTATACCTGATAACAGGCACAGTAGCGTAGAAAGCTGAACTTACTGCAGTTCTGAGCCGGTCGTAGGGACTTTTCGTAACGCCATCTTCTTGAAACAGATGGATAAAGACTTAATGTTTCTGTATTGACGTCTCTGTAGTATTTGGTTGAAAAGCCTGGCAGTGGCACTTATTGTTTGTGTCTTCTTTGTTTAAATTTACAACGGGGCAACGTTGCTTCGATATTTATAAATTGTTTAACGAAGGAATGGATGTGTTTATATCCCCAGATCCAGCGCTGTGGGATTTCTGGACCTACGATGGTTCCTTGACGACACCGCCCTGCTCAGAGAACGTCACCTGGATCGTTCTGAGATATCCGCTGATGATGTCTGCTGCACAGGTGGCTTACTTTTTTCTATTGCTCATCAGTCTGATGGTGATGGTGGTGATGGTGGTGATGGTGGTGAGGATGGTGATAGTGGTGATGGTGGTGTGGTGATTGTGATGTGGTGATGGTGGTGATGGTGGTGATGGTGGTGAGGATGGTGATAGTGGTGATGGTGGTGTGGTGATTGTGATGTGGTAATGGTGGTGATGGTGGTGATGGTGGTGATGATGGTGATAGTGGTGATGATGGTGTGGTGATTGTGATGTGGTGATGGTGATTGTAATGTGGTGATGATTGTGATGTGGTGATGGTGATGATTGTGATGTGGTGATGGTGATGTGGTGATGGTGATGTGGTGATTGTGATGTTGTGATGGTGGTGTGGTGATTGTGATGTGGTGATGGTGATGTGGTGATTGTGATGTGGTGATGGTGATGTGGTGATTGTGATGTGGTGATGGTGATGTGGTGATGGTGATTTGGTGATGGTGATGTGGTGATGATTGTGATGTGGTGATGGTGATGTGGTGATGATTGTGATGTGGTGATGGTGGTGTGGTGATTGTGATGTGGTGATGGTGGCGTGGTGATGGTGATGGTGATGTGGTGATGATTGTGATGTGGTGATGGTGATGTGGTGATGGTGATGTGGTGATGATGATGTGGTGATGGTGATGTGGTGATGGTGATGTGGTGATGGTGGTGATGGTGATGTGGTGATGGTGATGTGGTGATGGTGATGTGGTGATGATTGTGATGTGGTGATGGTGATGTGGTGATGGTGATGTGGCGATGGTGATGTGGTGATGGTGATGTGGTGATGGTGATGTGGTGATGTGGTGATGGTGATGTGGTGATGGTGATGTGGTGATGGTGGTGATGTGGTGATGGTGATGTGGTGATGGTGATGTGGTGATGATTGTGATGTGGTGATGGTGATGTGGTGATGATTGTGATGGTGGTGATGGTGGTATGGTGATTGTGATGTGGTGATGGTGGTGATGGTGATGGTGATGTGGTGATGGTGGTATGGTGATTGTGATGTGGTGATGGTGATGTGGTGATGTGGTGATGTGGTGATGGTGATGTGGTGATGGTGATGTGGTGATGGTGATGTGGTGATGGTGGTGATGGTGATGTGGTGATGTGGTGATGATTATGATGTTGTGATGGTGATGTGGTGATGGTGGTGATGTGGTGATGGTGATGTGGTGATGATGGTGATGGTGGTGATGGTGATGGTGGTGATGGTGATGTGGTGATGGTGATTGTGGTGATGGTGGTGATGGTGATGTGGTGATGGTGGTGTGGTGATGGTGATGTGGTGATGGTGGTGTGGTGATGGTGATGTGGTGATGGTGATGTGGTGATGATTGTGATGTTGTGATGGTGGTTATGAGGAGGAAGACGATGTAGAGAAAGAAAAAAAAAGAAGAAAAAAAAAGTAGTTGCGTGTGTTTAATAATCTGCATGAAAACGAACATTGGCACCTTTTCGTCTTTCCAGACGATAGTGTTATACTGCGCTATGAGAAGGCATGAGACTCACAGCTCATGGCGATGGCGAGTGTGACTAGCAAGACCCGCCAATGTCAAGAAAAGTCTTCCACAATGATAGCATGGGATTTCTTGACCATTGTTAACAACATTTGTGTTTAGTCCGTTTCTTTTCAGATGCTCAGCTCTCATACTTTCTGCAATCCTTTCTTCCTTCAGTCTCATTCCCTTCCTGATATGCACTTTCCACACAACACGGATCATGGCATTATGTTCCTATGAGTCCGCCTCAATACCTGTACCATTCATGTCCCGCTTGCACACATCTTTATAACGAAACAAAGATAAAGGAAAAACTAACGCACGCTAGCTGTAAATCACAACCCCACTTGTCAAACCCATTTTAAGAGCGAATGCAGAAGAAGAAGAAAAAGAAGATTTGGTTTGATTTGATTCAAGAACCGACATCACAGCACTCGGGGCATTCCCATAAGCGTTCCGTCCCCATCTTCAGCAGCCAGCGAAGAGTTCCGATACTAATGGTGCCAGTAGCATTCTGATTAAACGCCCGTCTTGCCTTTCCTCTGAGCCTCGAGCATCTGCCAAAACCTCTCGTCGCCCCCAACTGCATCAATCTCACCAGACTGGTGATCTATCTGCTCCTCCGAATTGTACACGATCTCCCACAAGGCACTAAACACGTCTGCCTTAACATGTATCAGTATTCCACGAAGTTCTGCAGAGCCGGCCAGTCTGTCCGCCTGTTCATTTCCCAACACACCGGCGTCACCTGGTGAAAAAAATCCAGACAATACTCCTCATTTGTGTCCTCCGCAGCGAAGCATGCCACTCTTCACGAAGCATGCCTGTCCTGATCTTCCTCAGCATGCTTTCTGAATCAGTTACAATCACGATGTGTGTGTGGGTCGTGTTCTCTAGCCAGCGAAAAGCTGCAGTGACCGCCTCCACCTCAATTCTTAAGCTGGATGTTATGGTATCATATACTAGGCTCTCCTGCACCAAATGTAGACCATTAACTTTTGCTAAGAAACCCCAAGCACTTCTTTTGCCTCTTGACACTGAACGGTCTGTGTAAATGATCAAATCCTATGAGCGAGCATTATCTTGAATTAATTGCTGAATTTCCACTTCTGTGGCACCTGCTGACCAGTCTCTGCATTCCCGGCTCAGCGTGATTATGACTCTACACAAGTCTGACTGTTCAGGTGGCACTTTGACCCACTCCTCTCCTCGCCTAATGTTCTAAAGGATGCAAACCTGTCTGATTGTGTCTTCTGCCTGAGCCATCCATGACCTCCCTCTTATCAGCCGCTGACCCTTAACTGCACCCAGAGCTTCATGCAGAGGGTGGTCTGTGTCTGCAGCTACCCTGAGATATGACTTCGCCTGCATCACCTTGTACCTACCTGCCACCGTCGGCAAACCAAGGATGTATCGCATACACACCACTGGGGTGTCTCTGGTGCAACACAGAATGACCCGCATAGCCGCGTTCTGTATGCGCTCTAGTTTGTCCATCTGACTCTTTGAGACGGTAAGCAGTCTCAGGCCATAATCCACCACTGACAGGATCAGGTGCTGATATAGTGTGAAAAGCATTCTCTGTTCTATGTCAATTGCAGCCATTGTCTTAAGTGCACTAAGTCCTTTTTGGCATCTCGTCACAACACTCTCCACATGGTCCTTAAATGACAGGCTCCTGTCAAATGTAATTCCCAGATACTTCAGATTGCTCTCTCTCTCTCTCTCTCTCTCTCTCTCTCTCTCTCTCTCTCTCTCTCTCTCTCTCTCTCTCTCTCTGATGACGTTTCTACCATCTATCGCGCGACTTGGGACATTAGTTTTAACAATTCTGTTGTCCAGAGAACAAG